TTTAGACTCATATAAGACTTTCTCCAATTTTACACATTATTCCAAGACTCACTCCAGATTTACTTATTATATTAATTTATTAACATTCATTTAATTACATATTTAATTTTTTTATAAATTATTTTAAGATGGTGAGTTGACAACTCACTATTGGGTAACAATAAATTTTTTGTACTTTTGTAGAGTCTTACTATGAGTTTTAGATTTCAAAACTCTTCTCAAGACTACGTGTAGTCTTTGTATATATTATTGCAAAAATCTTGCTCAAGACTCATCTCAAGACTTGCAATAAACTCACCCTAAGTTAACCAGAGTACAACATGAATTGGCATCCAGTGAGCATAAGCCAATCACAAGATGATTAGTGAAATTTAACCTTAAGGACAGCATAGATGAACCTGAAAAGTGGATGCACCATGCTTGCTGTACTAGAAAGGGAGCTTTTTATCAATTCAAAGGGCTACACTACACACCAGAAGTCCTGAAGTACAGGCTACATACCCAAGTTGATCAACACTTATTAATGAGGGTCTACCAACACAACTCCTAGATTCCTTTGCTTTTGGTTTTGTTTCATAGAAGGAGGGCAACTGTGCATCCAATCAATTGAATTTAAATACAAAAGGACATCTACTTGCATTAAACAACAGTATAAGAGTAGCATTACTGCACTAGTAGAATTGAAGATATCAAAAGAAATTCTACTACCCTTCGTATTAATAATGGTTGAAGTTGTGCATTGCACCGTATATCTATGTCTATACATACGGCGGGACCCAGGGAGAGACTAAAAAAAAAAATTTGAACAAGAAAATAAGAAAAAAGATTAATAAAAATCCCTAGTAGAGAAAAGGGATAGATAAGCATGGGAAGATTGTTTCAATTCCCCATTAAAAAAGAAGTGATTTGGGCCCCTTTGTCATACTGTTGGGGTTCACTGTTTTGTATATCTGTCTATTTAATTATACAACTATAGTGTAGCTTTTGATCTACCTATGTTATACAGTCCCACCTTTTTTATATTTTTTTATATATATTATAATATCCATGAAATTAATGCTATTGGTGATAGGAGAAAAAAGGTAGATTACAAATCACATCAAATCATAAAATCAAAACAACAAAAACAAACAAATTTAAATGGTCAAGTAAGCTAATCATATCATCGCCTTATCTCAGATTCTGTTCTTGTGGTGGGTGTGATTTGTAAACCCAAAAAATAAAAAATAATACTGTAATAATAAAAAGATCTTTGAATTAAAATGTAAAAGCTGCTTTTTTTTTCCTCCAATTTTTTCAGAGCATCTTGGCAGAGGTATTTGCATGATTTTATGAATTCTACAAACACGAACACCCAAAAAGAACAACAGTAGAAGTTATTATAGTAGTAAAAAGGGATTTTGATTTTTAAATGAAAGACCTTAAAACAGTATCTGCCACTTTTCTATTGCTCCAGTTCTGAGCAAAGACTCATGCTCAATAACAGAAGAAAAAAAGGGGAATTTTGGCATTCTATAGAATTTGATCAAAGAAACTTTGATCAAATTGATCAAAAGAGGTGTAATGAATAGTCTTCATCAAATTTTTAGCGATGGTAAATCTATACACATGTTATTTGAGTTTAGTTGTTATAGTATTAGTTCAAATTACATTATTAATGTGAATCTTAATTCCGGACACAGGTTTAGTTGATAAAAACAATGATGATCTTTATTTACGCATACAACAACAAACAAAAGAGGACATTATACCATTAGCCTTGTGATTACTCTTTAGACTAATTCATTGACTTACACAAACACAATGATAGAGCAATAAAGAAAAATACAAAGTATCAAACAAATCAACGTTGACCAAAAACAGAAGAAAAATTATCTTGAGGGCTGAAATTAAGAAGCATGATTGATTTTCAACTGGATTCAGAGTAACAAAGAAGTTACAAATCCATTGAGACTATGAAGAGTTATTTATGAGATTTTTTTTTTTAATCATTTTTTGTTCATCAGAAAAAAGAGGGGAGGTAACTATCAGAAAGAAGTATCCGGATACAAGAAGAGTTACAGAAAAACTCTAAATCATTTTCCTCTACCTCAATGCACATACATACTATATAGATATATGCATTTAGCTCAATGCCCACCAAAGATAAAGAATTAAAAACATCTAATAATGACAAAGTCGAGTTGATTCGAGGAGCGAGCTAACCAGGCCGATTTCTTGTGAGTAGCTTTGGCGTCGGATTTTAGAACACCGCTGGAATCACCTTCCGATGAAGCTTCCATGGATCTAGTTAGGGAATGAGAAAGATCAGAATAAAGGTCAACAACCCTCCTTATATTATTGTTAAGCTCCCTTATTAGGCCCACATTCCTGGAAAGGTTATCAGGAATCCTTGACTCATGATTTTGGTTGATCTCATTGATTAGCAATCTGTTCTGATCCAATATGCTCTGAACTTGCACAAAACTCTTCTGAAATGTCTGTAATACCTTACTGTCTACCTGTGTACCATTTCCTAGCCCTGAAAATGTGTCTCCTTCCATTTTTAGAATCCAACACTTTCCCAATCCACAGCAACAAATTCACTTGTCCTTCTCCCAACTGCCAAACAAGTTCGAAAAATTACTAACTTCGTTAGGATCATTGAATTGTGTGTTAAATCAAAGTCGAAAACAGAAACAACATTAATCCACAATCTTAACAAGATGGGTTAGAATCCTACAACAATCTTTATCAAATCTTACTCATATCATCCTCGTAGTCAGAGTTTTGAATCAATAATTATGACATGAAATCACAATCTCCACAACAAAAAGTACTCATATAGTCATATCATCCTCGTAGTCAGAGTTCCGAATCCATGATAATGACATACGAGTAAAATCACAATCTTAACAACAAATCTAACTCATACCAATATACCATCTTCATAGATAGTTTCAAATCCATAATTACAACATACGAGGAAAATTACAATCTTAACAACAAATCTTACTCATACCAAAATACCATCCTTGTAGTTAGAGAGGTCCAAATATATAACTAAGACATAAAATCAACAAATCTTACTCATACCAACATACCATTTCGTAGTCAGAGAAGTTTGAATCCATAATTACAACATAAAATCACAATCTTAACAACAAACCTTAATCATATCATCCTCATAGTCAGAGGTCGAAATCCATAGAAAAGGCAAATTACACGCCAATATTTTTTGTACCAAAGAGACAATTTGTACTAAAGATGAAATCATGACCTCCACAAATTGAATTGTCCCCTACAATCATAATTATTTAATTTTTCTGATTTCAGGTAAATTTGGATTATTGGTGAAATTTTTAACTGTTGTGGGAAAATGATAATAATTATAAATTCTTTTTGGGTATAATGAGATGTGAAAAGCAGATCCCATTTTCCATAAAAGGGAACCTTTTTCAAATGTACTCTGAAATACCCACCTAAAAGTTTTCACAGTTTCAAAGAAGAATCTCTCTCTCTATCAAATCCCCTCATTATAATTTTCTTGTACGAATTTTGCACACAATTCCCAAACTACAATTATTAAAATTAGATAATTAAAATTAATCTATAATTCTGAATTCATACATATGGAGTAATACTGTACATATCATTGAATTACATAATTAAGCACCCAGTAATTAAATTCTAAAATTTTGAATTTCAAAAAATTAGAAGAAAAAAAAAATGCCCAGAAAGAAAATACTCTGAATTTGACTCAAACTCAAAAATTAGTGTGAAACAACAGAAATTAAGAGGTACCCATTAAAGAGTAATTAAGAAGTGATTAAATGGAACAAACCCCAGGAAATTTAATTAAAGATTAGATTAAAAAAGTGGCGTATTCAAATCTGAAAATTACTTAAGCTTACCGATTTAAAAAGTTTAAAATAAATAATTAACAATTGGAAAGAAAAGTTAAAGAAATGAAAGAATATAAGTAAAATTTTAATAATTTACCTGGTGAATGATTAAGTTTGATTTCCGGGGAAAAAGATTGAATATGAAAGTAATGATCTTCAATTGCTGTGAAATTGATCTTGAAATTCCTCAAAAAGGAAGGAGGAAAGGAGGCCCTTTGGCTGTTTCTGGTTTGGCTTGTGTTTTTTTATGTGTTCAGCTTCAGCCCAATTGTTAGATCCTACAAGCACATGTAATATGAGCACTATTCTCTCTCCTTAAAACGACACCCCCTTTAGTATTAAACGCATGCTGCCAAAAACATTAAAAATTACTTTATTTAAATATACTCCAAAAAACAGAGATTACATTCCCATAACCTTGCTCACATCAATAAAACAATTTTATTTTTGATATATGTGGGAAGGGATGGTTACTGAGTTATAGTGGACATTAATTTTGACGGGATTTGATCTTTAATATTGGGTATTTATGGGGTAAAGTAATATGCAGATAGGGATAGTTATGGAGTTACAGCGGGTATTGATGTTGACGGGATTTGATTTCTAATATTGGGTATTTGTAGGGCAAGGTAATTTGCGTATAGGGAGAGTTACGGAATTATAGTGGGCATTAATGTCGACGGGATTTAATCTCTAAAGTTGGAAATCTGTGGACAAGGGTAATTAATGGGTAGGGAGAGTTACAAAGTTAAAGTGGACCATGAGAGTTACGGAGTGGGCATTAATGTCGACGGGATTTAATCTCAAATGTTGGATATCAATAACCGTGGATCATCTTCAATTCCCTTACAACTTTAACTAGTACATCTTCAATGCAATATCGTAATTAAAACATCTCAAGTTACGTATTAAAAAAATATATATTTTAAAAATATAAAAGCGAAACAAATCTAATAAGATTTCACCCGACTATAATTTGAAGCATTAAAAAGCCATTAAAGCACAAGATTTCATTTGTATTGGAATCTCTCAAAATTTCAGAAACAAGGGGATTAATAAGTTATGTCATGTTATAATAGGTAAAAAAAATCTCAAAAGCTAAGGAAACATAGTCCTTTGTCTTTGATTAATTTGGATTTAGTCTTGAGGGAATACGTATGTCTAAAATATCATGCATCCTTATCTTATCCATTTAAAAATTCATAAATTGATAAAAGAAAACAACACTATTTTAGATTTTTTGAATAAATTTTACTCAAAATAAACCAAATCTTCCTAGCAAAAAGTAATTATTTTGATTTTTATAAGATTGATTGTAAACTGTATAGTAATTGTTTATAATTATTTAATTAAAAATATGTACTAATGCATAAAGCCCTAATTAGCTCACCTTAAAAAATTTATGAAAACAAGTTTTAATTAGTAAAAATCGATTATAATGAGTAAATTCCAATTGTTATCGATGAAAAAACTATAATTAATAAAAATTAACGATCTCATGTCCACAAAAGAATTTTAGTGAGTTTGTGACAATTAATTACATTTTTCTCGTCTTGTCTCAAATTCATAACTACTTATCTCCTTTCACTTTTGTTTAAGGTACATGGGGGTGCATATGTATGTTTAAACTCATAACCATGATTTAAAAAGTGAAATCATATACCACTAGGCCACAGCGGTGACTTGTGCACACTAATGTAAAAGATGAAAACCTTTGAACACATTTGTATTCGTAAAGGGTAAGTCTTGGATATGGCTAGTTACACGGTGTGGCCACCCACACGGTGTGGCCACATTAATTTATAAGAACAATCTTCATCTATATGCATGAATAACCTCATTTTTTCATAAGAGTAATCTCATATGGTCTATAAATGTAACCCAAATTCATTATACAAGTAAAATCAAATAATTCAGAAATAAGTAACCCAATTTGTTCATTTGAGTAACCCCTATTCTTTGTTTTAAAAAAATAAAACAATAATTCCACTTATTTAAAAAAGTAACCCTTTTCTCTCATTTAAATAACCTTATATACGTTAAGGTAACCTCATTTGCTCATCACCATGACCCCTATTATTTAATTAATTGTCTTGTGATTGTGTGAAGTGGCCACACCATGTAACTAGCCACATATAAGAATTTGTGATCCGTAAATAATCAACATTTTGATTATTAAAAATGAATCGATTATATTAGGATATGATCTATTTACTCGATTTACCTTATATTATTTGAACTTATCGAAATTAGTTATATTTACTTGTACTTTAATTGTCAATTGAACTTGAATTATTCTTATTTATCATTGTTTGAACTCATTTTACAAGTATTTATCTTATCCAAACTCTTTGTTGATATCGGAAATAAATATAGCATAAAACTTCCACTTACCAAATTAGCTAGATGGACTTGGACTCCCATGTTAGTGATCTTACGACTTTATCCAGAAAGTGTATGATTTTGATCTGATATAAACACATAGAAGCACTAAAACTATCAATAATTTCCAAAGAAATCCAAAACTTTAATTATCATCAACAAATATTACTACAATTACTTATCAAACAGCAGTATACCACGTTGAGTTGATATGTACATAATTACTTAAAAAAGATGATTCTAATCCATGGTCCGTTTAGGGGCGACAAATTTAGATTAATAGACTAATTAACAACTAGACACAGTATTTAAGTGATGTGAATATCTAGCTGTCCTTAGCAAATTGCAAAATTACAAGAAAAATATTAATTAACGCGAGTTTAAGGACAATGGATAAGATTAATTAATATTTCTTTTATAAGAAACTCTCATCACAATTATTCCTACTACCACTATAAATGAATCAACTTTCTTCCATTAAGTTAAACTTACTAGTTTAAGGTTGGCTTGACATCTTATGGTGTTTTTTGCTTAATTATAAGAATTAAAAAGCATGATTTAAAGAGTTAATTAAATATTAATAATAAGGCGCACCAAATTAGGGATGGTCCATGCTACATTAACCCAGTTAATTAGTTGGCGGATCTTAGTTTTGGACGTGAATGAGAATATATTTTTTTTTTCATCATATAATAAAGTTTTGATTTATATTATTATCTCCAATAAGTGCATGACACATGCTTTCAAATTAAGGTTCGGAAGATCTTTAGGCTTGGTCCGAGCCTAAGAAGATTCTCCAAACCTAATAATTTATTTATTTTTGTAATTTTTGTTAATATATTGACACGAGGTGGGTCATGCAACATCACGCTTCACGCCTCACAGATGATATACACGCTAACTAACGTGATGAATGTCTTCTCGATGGCAACGAAAGACACAAGGTATAAGTATAAATAAATAATTAGAGAAGATATGTTCAAATTTGTCTATGTTAGGTGTAAACCTAAATAGTAAGCTAGACTAGAGGATTTGAAGGATGACCTAGTTATATAATTTTATAAAGGCTCAATCTATTTATTCAAGAAAATCAAATGGTCTTTGATACGAAGTTTATTAGATTACATATATCGTCGATGATGTGATCTAATTAGTTATGTAATAATAGGGACAATTGAGCTCTTATAAATATTTTTGCTAGGTAACAATTAACAAGAAAATTGTGAAAGATAAACTAATTATTGACTGGAATAGACAATCTAAATTTATTGTATCTTTATTATTTTACAGATATAAATTACTTGTATATGATTAGGTGGTTATAATTTATGAATGTTATGATGCACGACCTATTTGAGATAAACTCTACGAGTACCTTACATAGTTAAAGTGATTGAAAAATTAATTAAATATCATGTTAGATATCACCGTATATTATACAACTATCTTTGATATTATCACTAATATACTCCGTATTATGATTCATGTATATTATTTAATGAACCATAGAGATTGTGTTAACTTTATCTCTTGTGAGTTGTGACTATATATATATATATATACTTGTACTAGTTCAATAATATAACTAATTAAGCTTTTTTTACATATTCTATTCTAAACTAATATAATAATCTAACACTTTCATTTTGTTGATGATAAAATTATTTAATTAGTTTGTCTGTTTACTTTTCCTTAAATCATTGGTCCAAAGAGATGTGTTGTAGGTTAAAATACAGAGCATGTATGTTGTTTAGAACATTGCTTTTGGATTTGTATATATAGGTTTGGGCCTTGGGCCAAGCCATCCGTGGCAATCTTGAATTCTAGGCCCAGGAAACCCATTACCTTCCACAAAGCTCAAAATCAACAACAAACCCTCTCCTTCCATGACCAAATTCCTATCCTTTTTTTTTTTATTTTTATTTATCACTCATCAATAAATATTGTTACACTTTGAGCATAACAAAATTAATTTCTCCAAGAAACTAACGTTACCAAATACTTTACTTTTTCTCTAAGTGTTAAAACTTTACATCTTTTTTGATCCAGCGGATATCTTACCTAAGAAGTTTGATTAAATAAGGTATTTGTCACAAATTTATTTAAAATATTACGTAAGTAACACTTATAATTAGAACCATGGGAGCATTTTTGCGGCATAAAACCCTATAAACCAATAATTATGAACAACAATACAAGACAGTGTAGAAGAAATTAAATGATCTCCCATTTCTACTCGATTAGAAAAAGATTTATATGTTATACTTCTTTGTATAATAATGTTAAAACATCCACTTTTATGCTATACTACAATCCAAATATTTGGTGTAATCAAATTTCTAATTTTCAACCAAAGGTACAAGTTCCAACGTTGCTTCCTCTACCCTAGAATTACTATATTTTGTTTGAGCTAATATTATTGGAAGGAACCAAAACATCATGTTGTGTTACATTTGGTACAAGAAAGATCAAAGCAAGTGTACCTAATCTCAACAATTTCTTACAAGAACTGCCAACCACAAATTACTAAAATTAGTTCTTGAAATATTGAAGAGATGAAGTACCACTCCTCCAATCATCTTAGAAGAGAGGGAGCCTAAGCTATCTATGCACATTAGAAGTGCAAAAAACGTTCCCTCAATGCCTAAAGGACATAGCCTTGTACTCAAGACTACCATTGGCATCCATCGAATACGCGCGATTATGTGCAAAACAGTTTCCTCAATTATAATGAATAATGAATCAGGGATCCCAAGTGGTAAATTCATCTTAGGATGAACATAAGATCCAACAGTCCAGATACGCGTAGATGAGTTGAGCATAGAACAGGAGAGTTCTAAGAGGGTAATCTTTCAAGAACTTGTGGTAGATGAATACACCAACTATAGATCCCACGGCTCCAATTGCATACATCATTCCAATAAATTCCTACTAACAACAAAACATAAACCAACATTGTCAAAAATAGTGATTAGATGTTGCAAATGGGTCAATACACATAGATGCAGAGTACTTGAGGTTAAATTAATTCGAGTCATAAGCACATTGTTTATAAAAAGCTACTTCATGTGATGAATTTAGTATTCAATTAAGTAAATGACAGCAAATAAGTAGAGAAAGGACATACCTTGGAGAAACCGGGACCGAGTTTAGGATTCAGTTATACCAGTAAAAATGGCCTTCATGAGTGCTATAACTGAGGGCCAAAGACAGAAACATGAAGAGTGATGGTTTCCAAACTTGTGGGAACTTCATTGTTTTATACATATTCTGCATTGCGCTTCCTACCCTTTCTGCAACCTGTATGTGTTTGCTTACATTTACATGATTAAAACCAATTAATATGCACAAAGATTATAGATTCATATGAATAATTGAACTAGCATTAAAAGATAATAATAATTTACAACAAAAAGGCTAGAAATGATGTGTATGAAATTTGAAATATACCTTGACCTTACCTTGTTAGAAGCATGAGTAGGGTTGGAAAATGATCTTAATTCATAAATAAGGAATCCCAAAAACTAGAAAATGAAGCTGGTGCGATAGTTAGAAGCCGAGTGCTTCCTACAAATGAAGAGAACAAAACATCCATAATCTCATTTGTGCAAGTAAAAAAAAGTCAAATTTCTGAACAACAGCAAAGCCTTAGTTACAAAATGATTTGGGGTCGGCTAACATGAATCAAGTAGAGTGAAAAGAAGAAAAGAAACCTGAGGTCCAAGCAAATGAACAAGAAATCCACTAACAAAAAACCCAAACAAGTCTCCAAAAGAGAGACAAACCCCACGAAGAGATTGTAATTCCGGGGCTAACTCTTTCACCTCGATGCTACGCTTAGCAATACAAGCATCAATCGTTGCAGTTGCGATGGCCATCCCACAAACAACTCCAATGAAACAAACAAGAGCCAAGCTAACAGGCAATGTGGAGATCATTGTCACGAGTACCGCGATAAAGCTCCAATGACACTGGCGGCAATAAAATAAGGCCGCCGGTGATATCCCCTTATAGGGAAAACATCACTCAAGAGGCCCAAAGGGGTCTTAACATCCAAGGAATGAAGTAAAGACCGGCATAGAGTTGAGCTGAAGAAGGTTGATCCTTTGGACGTCTTTCCAGTAGTAGTCAGTCACGACACGAAAGTATGACTCGATGAAGCCTAAGTTGAGGCCATAGACAATGATGCCAATGACGAGGGTGGGATGGGAAGCGGAGGACATCATTTTGAGCCATTCTAGAGGTTGCAAGACAAGAGATGAGAGTGTTTTTTGGTTTTGGTGATGTGCAATACTTTCGGGGTTTGGTTGTGGTGGTGGAATCATGAAGTCTGTTTCAATAGAGCTCATGATCAATGTGAGATTATTGTAGGAACTAGGAAGCAAAACAAGGGAGTTGAGGAAATAGAGAAACAAAATGAGGTTGGTTGACTTTGAAAGCTTTCAGATCAGAAGAGATGCAATCTTAGCTTGTACTACTTTTATGTAACATGGAAGTTAATTAAATAATTAAAGGGCATGTAAGATTTAATAAACCTTATAATTTTTATTATGGAGTAGTAGTTAGTGAAGGGGCAAGAGGCAATAGATTATGATTATCTTATAATATATCTATCTTGATAAATACTCCGTATTGTATTGTTTTAGACATTGGTACTTGATAACAAACGGAAAAAAAAGGTAACGTTTTCTTCACAGTTAGGATATCGTTAATAAGAAGTTATGCTATGTCTAAAACTTGCAAATTAGATGCTAAAATAACTTCATTCACCTCTATGCTACCCTTTGCTATACAAGCATCAATCGTGTCGCAGTTGCAATTGCCATTCCATCTGCAACACCGATACAAGAGCCAAACTTGCAGCCAACTTCGGAACAAGTGTTACAACAACTGCAACAGAAATGCCAATAACACCAGCAGCAACGAAATAAGGTCGTCAATTATGTAGGCAATGATAATGCAAACTTACCCCCAAAAACTTATAGGTAAGTCGGCTTAAAATTGTAAAACTCGTGTCATAGTAGTATGCATAAGTTCAACATTTTGAGCACAAGGAAATTTATTTCTCCCAAAAAAAAAATGTTACGAATGAGATACAAAATATACCTTTATTTCTAAGTCATAAAGAACTAATACTCCTAAAACTTAGTTAGGCTAACCATATGAGCTACCTCAAAAACTTTTAGTTGGCTTGAAATTGTAAAACTCGTGCCACATTAAGTATGCGGTGATGGTTTCTTCTAACTGACATATTGTTGAGGTGCATCAACACGTGAAGTTTGGTTCAAAATTTCACTCTCAGAATAAAGCTTCCATAACACAAGTAAATTCCATGATTATTAAATAAGTTGATCAAACCATAAACTGAAATTTCCATTATATCCAAGAATTAATCAGCAGTTCATGGATGAATTTCAGAGTTTATAGATTATTCCAAAACATGCTTACATATCCACTGAGAAATCAACAACCATAATCATGATTTATTGTATTCCGTAGTATTTTTTTTATGAAATACCAATGAAACTGAATATCACACACATATACATGAATACTGAATACATCATTTCCCACACTCAACATTCAAACTATATGAAGTATATAACACATGAAAAAAGAATTGATAATGGCAAAATCAAACCAAAACAACAATATCAATCAAAGAATATAATGAAAAAAATGAAATCATAAAATCAATAATATCTAGTACTAAAAACAGTGCTCTTCCTCAAAACACTAGTATTACCACTCTTCTTTCCAACCTTATTTTCACCATTAGTAGCATTAACAGCAGCAATTGACAAACCCTTCAATTCATCAATACTAGCATAACTCTTTCTTCCCATACTCATCAACTTCCCACTACTCTGTTTTTCCCCTGAATTCACAGATTTACTTCCAACACCTCCCAATTTACTCCCACTTCCGATCATTTTCTCCCTTTTCGACATCAAAGGCGGCGGCGTTGCGCTCTTCTCAAACCTCGGAATCCGATTCTCAGACGGTTTCCGATTCTCTTTCCTTAATGCAGAAGAAAAATCAGGCACTGATTGAGCCAAAACAGAATACCCCTGTTTTTTACCGTTATTCTGTAAATTCCCCTGAAACCTTACATTCTTCTTTTGCTGGTGAAAATTCTGATCTGGTTATCTCTAAAAACTGTTCTTCTTCCTTAATTTTCTTACTTTTACCAGTAAATTCCCCTGAAATCTTGCATTTTTCTTCGCTGGTGAAAATTCTGACCTGGGTATCATCTCCAGAAATTGTTCATCTTCCTCAATTTTTTTACAGTTACCCAGTAAATTCCCCTGAAATCTGACATTCTTTTTCTTCGCTGGTGAGAATTCTGACCTGGGTATTTCCAGAAATTGTTCATCTTCCTCAATTTTTGTACAATTACCCAGTAAATTCCCCTGAAACCTGACTTCATTTTTCTTTTCTGGTGAAGAATCTGATCTGGGTATTTCTAAAAACTGCTGATCTTCCTCAAATTTGAGTCTTTTTGATCGGAGATTTGATTCTCTGAGTTGAGCATAAGCGTTGTATCTTGGCCCTCGTTCCATGAAGTAAGGATCAGTGATTAATTGAAGGGTATTATTGCTTGGATCAGAATAATGAGAAAGAAGTAGGGTTTTTGGATCAAGGGTTAATGTTTCAGCCATTGATCAATCTAATGTTTGAGTAAATTTGCTCTGTTTTTTCTGGGTTTGTAAAAATGTGATTTTTTTTTCCCTTTCAAACGGTCGAATTTTGACGAAGAGAGAGAAAGTAGAGTTTTTTTTTTTTTTTTTTTGGGTAATGGTGTGTTGGGGAGAAAGATTGTTTGTTTAATCAAAAGAGATTTGGTAATTGTAACGTTCTGATTTTGTGATTGGGACCTTGATTTAGGGCCAAAGAAGAATAGATGAATGATCGGTGCAATTTTAGCCGTTGGATTCGAAGAAAGTCTAAGAGCCGTTTTGTTGATTAAGGGTTGTGATTTTATTGTGAAATTGGATTCTGGCATGGTGAGGAAGTTGATGATGGTTTCTGCGACGTGGTTACTTTTTAGGGCTTGTTTACGTCTTTCCCATGTTACAGTACGGAGTACAATTTATGGTATTTTGTTGTAAGACAAAAAAATACGGCATTTTTTATTTTTTTTTGAAGAAATTACGGTATTTTATACACCATATATTGGAAAATAATAGAGTAACATACATGTATTCAAAAAAAAAAAAAAAATATAGAGTAACATACATTATGCACTGTAACAAGCTTCCCTAAAAAAAAAAAAGGTACTGTATCAAATTAAGCTTAGTCTAGTGGTAAGGATTGTACCTTCCAACCTTCGAGTTCAATTCCCACAAGAGACACTTTGAGGGTGGGGATCCCTTATCCCTTACCATTACCCCTCACTCTCAAAATGTCTAACCCGCAAATGCCGGACCAAAAAAACCGTGAGGGTTGAGGTACAATTAGGGTTCTTCTCCTTCCCTTAAAAAAAATAAAAATAAATAAATAAATAACATTATGTATTGTATTTTTAATAAGGTAAAAAATGACCATTAGAAAGTCCTACTCACAAGGAGAATTACTAATGTATCAAAAGAAAGAATGGGAAATAGGTTAAAGTTAATTGTGAATTGAGTAAGAAGAAAATAAGTGTGTTTGATAATATGCTCGATTTATTAAGGGATTGCTCAAATGTCTTTTATTGAGTTGATGATTAAAAGGTCATCACCTTCAATTTTAAATGTTCTGAATGTCACATTAGAGAGATAGTTGGACTCCTTTATGATGAGTTGTTGCTTTTGCTGCGAATGTAGATGCCTTGATGAGGGCTCTGCTGACTGCTGCTATCTAGGATGAAAACTTCTATTGTTATTGAGCTATTGCGAACCGAACTGTCAACTTTGGAGAAGTTGTGAGGTGTCTTCCATGATACTATAAGAATGGATGATATGGCACATTATGTATAGCCTGGCTCTAAGAACTGTAAAATTATATAAACATAAAACATATTTTCTCTGTTTTCTCTTATTATGTATAATTAATAACTTTCTGTCAAAAAAAAAAAAAAATGAAAATTACAACTACAACTACAACTACTAATTTCAACAAGTTTAATTCACAACTAATGTATAAATGTATTAATTACAAGAAGTTAAGTTCACAATTACAAGTTTCAAATAATTTTAGACAGTCAAATTTGGTTGCATTATTTAGGACATTTATAAACAGAAAGTTGGTATTCTAGTGATGAAGCTAAACAAATCATTTCAACTTATAGACCATGTCATAAAAGTGAGTGCCAGGACTAAACATCTCTATAAATCTTACAGGAGGGAGGCCTTGAGCCCATATCATGTACATACTAAAATAAGTAAGATTCAATCTGTGCTCTACTGAAGACCACACGAACGCTGGTTGCCAACACAACTCAAGCTTTTTCCCAGAAAACTCGATGCAGAGCGGAGCAGTCAACTACTAAATTTCAATGCAAGGAACATTTATCCTTTGAAGAGGACTAGAAGAACCCATATATGTTGGCTTGGTCATTAAGACTCGAGAGTGACACAATTTGTACCTACATATGTATGGATAACTTGTTGGATTCACACTTCTTCCTTCAGACTTTGTGATACTTGTACTTCTGCCCGAGATTAAATCTTGTAATACTGCCAGTAAATCCACTAAGCACTAAGGTTCGTACAGCCTCAACACCTTGTTCCAAAGCAGCATCAATCTGTCCATTGAATTAGATACACTCAAATCAATTAGGTTTTTAGTAACGGACACAGTTGACACTTTAAACTGCCTGATAAATCAGTGATAAATCAGTGATAAATCAGTGATAAATCAGTGATAAATTCTTTGTTGGTCTGAAGACATATTTTTTACATTGAGGGTTCTCCCTCCCTTCAGATTGAAGTAAACACAATAAAACATGTCATTGACTTTGTGATGCCTTTTGGCACTAGAAAACACCAACACTTGAACATACAAGCTGAGTTTCATGCTGTTGACATATCCAACTTCAAAGTTATCAAATTTACATGCGAGAAATATCACCTTTTGAAGGATTGCTTACCTGTCTTCTTTCTGTAGGACTAAACTTTTGTAAAAGAAAAGCTTTCATATCCATATTTCCCGGAGGATTCCCGATACCTACAAAGATTGAATTTTTAATTAAAGGGCTGAAATCTGATGCCTGACTAAATGAGGCTTTTCTCTATAGACAGGGAAGATATGATGTTCTGAAAACCAACCTATGCTTAGCCGAGGGAAGTCCTTCCGCCCATCTAAGTGTCCCATCACATTCTTAACTCTGCAATAGCAACATTTCAAAATCATGAGACTTACAACTGATTCAGAGTCAGCAGAATCACCCTATAATAAGGGTCCGACATTTCTAAGACTTGACTGGGAGAAAGGATTACGGTACTGGACAACGTGGACTGACAAATGCTTTCAGAACTTGGTATGTACTCCGTATTGTTCATAAAGATCCCAAATTTGATTTAAAGAATTTAATGTTTTAGAATCTTGCATAGGAACTAAAAGCACCATGGATGACATTGTAGTGACTTTGTTCAACTGAATTAGTGTCTTTATGAGGTATTACCCTCTTCCCTTCTTTCGTTGATGGTTTGGAGGTGTACAAGAGCCAATTTCAGAAGTGGGCAAGATTCAGAACAACAGTTGAGGAAAAGGGAGAGAAGTAAAGAACACAAATGTATGCAGAGCACACAAAAGTTCAGTTATACCTTATACTATCACGTCCATGATTTTTTTAAGAATGAAATCTTCATAGGTTTTAAGAGGTTCAAAAGGATGACAAGATCTCTGTTGACTACTGAACACTATCTTTGTAAGTCCATTTAGGTAACTTACCCATTGTGATGTCCATGTCCTCCTTTTGGCTGAATCCTTAAGACACCATTAGGCAAGCTCATTTCATCATAGGCCTAAGATAGCAGTTCAAAGTACCACATAAACAGAATGAAGACTGACTTTCGTTACTTTGAATTCAGTAGGTAAGGTATACATACCAATAAGATGTGGCGCAAAGGAACTTTATAATATGCAGCCAGCGGTCCAACCTCAAATAGGAGGAATTAACAAGTCAGACATGGAATTAAAGGGGGAAACAGGAAAAGCAACCAATTTAATAGAGTAATAATAACCTACTGGTTACTGGCTTTGCACACACATTCCAGGATGCACATATATTTAACAGGATGAAGAAAAGTTCATGAAAAGATAATATGTATGGTGTTTGTGTTCACTTCTAGGGATCTTTACTGTTCTAACAAAGCTTTGATCAATCCCCTATGAAGTGAGCTGGAAACTATATTGCCTTCATGTCTTCACGAAGATTTATATCACAAAAAATCACTCAAAAGCATTCCTAGAAACATAAAGTCTTCCTTACTGTATCAATTGGTAATGAGAATTAAACTTCAAAATTACATACACAGCTATGATATTACATAGACAACTTCGCAGGCATGGTAAATTTGGTGATCTGTCTAGGGATGTACAACAACCATTCTTTTCTATTCAAATGTTATCAGGGGATGTTTTTAGTTTCAAGATATTCTTCAACTCTTTGAGTTCCCATGTTCAAAGTATCAATTAAATCGAAGAATAATAATGATTCACTAACACACAGAAGTGCAGACAGAATAATCATACATGGTCAAAACAAGCTCTGGAACCCAATTAAGCAGCCAAAAGATTAAAGAGCATACCGATTCCCCACTGAAGTTCATATATGCTTGAGGTTTGGCCAAGACAATAGGTACTTCCCCAATTGAACCTGCACTGATCATGCCATATGATGAAAATTTGAGAACCAAAGCAACCTAACCAAACAAAACCAAAATACATTCAAGGCAGAAAATATAGCCAAAAAACACAAAACTGAAAATTTGAAAGCACCTATTCCTATCAAGGCTTTTGATTGTATGGTGTTCAACACAATGCCCTCCTTCTGAGAGATTTTGTCAATCATCTCAAATCCCACCTGGTTAAAAATTAACAAAGGCGCATTAGAGCTTATGAAATCATGCTACAAATTCCAATATACTTGGCATACATAAACATGACAGCCGGTAACAGACTTGGTATACATAGACTTGTTAGAGCTTGTCAAATAGGTCGGTCAAGTAAGGTTTGGATCGAACAACTTTATATTCAGGTCATCAGGAAGCCGTAGGGCAGGGTCATTTCAGTTTCGAGTTGGAAAATGCATGATTGTGATTCTATATATCAATTTAACCAATCAAAACATACCTCAGAAAACCAATCAACCATATAGACAGCTTGAAGGGCATCATTGAGTTGCCAATATGACATACATATTAACATATCAAATTATCAACAGCAAGAACACCGGAAATATGCATTCCAACCCAACAAAGCATATAAAATGAGCAATTTACTAAACCTGTTGAAATCAATTCTTCATATACTTGAGCAAATTTCCCACATAATCAAATTTCATTTGCAAACTAATTATTCAATACATATTTCTAAGAAAATAAAATTAAACCAAGATGAAATAATGGCACAATATTTCCACCCTTCAAGCTATATGTAATCAAAATTGGACAAACCCACATACAAATAGTAAGATTTATCTATGTAATTAAATTCAGGCTACAAACTATATTAAAAACAATCAAAAATCCAAAATTAAAGGTGTAAAAGATAGAGAAATTACATTATGGCGAGTTCCATGGTATTTATTTCCAGGGTTACCAAGACCAACAATAAGCCAAGGGGTGTACTCCAAGTTGGTTTCTTTTGGGTCTGAAGATGAACTAACTGCTGAAACCCGAAAACTGAGCGGAGCAAACTGCTTTGCTCTCAAATGGGTTGTTTTTGGAAATGGTATTAGATTATTTGGAGCTGAAATTGCACTCAACATTGATGATTTTTTCTAGTTTTGCAGAGAGAAGGATGAGGGGTGCAGGAAAGATGAAGTTGGTTGAGAGTAGAAGAAAAAATTGGGAAGGAAAATAGGATGGGTTTATGATTGTGTCATACTGTAGTATGGCCTTAATACAATTCATCACAATTCACAATTGTACCAAGATAAAAAGGCCCAATACTGTAGCAAACAGCAAATTTTCAGGGATAATTTTTCTTTTTTTTTTATATATTTTTTTTTCCACTGAATTTTTGTCAATTAATATTACTTTGGAGTTTTATTGACTAATAAAAAGTTTAGGTTAAGAGAATTATTTGTGTAAGACTGTCTTACTATCATCATAAGACCATCCTTATGATTTAGGTTTATAACTATGGTGACATAAATGGAAGGTTAATAAGAATTATTCAATTTAAATAAGTATTAATTGAATTGATAATATCAAATAAATGAATATTAGGTTAATAAAACGCATTATTAACTGGTTTAAGCAACTTGATTCTTTCCTATTTATCACAACAAATTTTTACACAATACTCGTATAGTTTAGTCTACAACATG